CAGTTAGTTAAGCGACCAACTTCAGCTCAGGTCATGATTTCTTGGGTCCTGGGTTCATACCCCACATCAGTCTCTGTGCTGACAGCCTGGAGTCTGCTTGGGATTATCTCTCTCTCCCTCCTTCTCTGCCCTAACCCGCTCGCATACTCCCTGCCTTTCTCTGAAAAGTAAATAAACGTTCAAAAAATTTAAAAAAAAAAACCAAAAATGGTAGAAATTATTTTTTCTTGTTTAAAGTTTCATTTATTTGGTTACTGTGGAGCTGAATATCAGTTTATATGTTTCTGGCAGTGTTTTCTTCTTTCAATTAGTAGTTAAGGATCAGAACTTTACTGACTTTCTAGAAATTGGAATAGTACTTTTCTAATGAATTATGTGGATACTTTATGAACTGGGGACACTAACTCCTTATGCAACACGTGGGATGTAGACAGTCATGATGTGTCATTTTCCTTTTGTGTGTGGCACTCTGACATGTCAAAGTCACCTCAGAGATTATGAAGATATACTCTGTCCTCAGGTGCTCTCTTCTAGCCGCGGGCTGTGAGCTGTAAGGACATCTGCTGAGACGTCTCTAAATGTCTCTAAACGTGAAATCCAAGCTTAGTTCAAAGAGAGGAAATATCCATGCGAATGTGGGAAACAGGCCGGTTCTCCAACTGTGTTCTCAAGGAGAATGTCTTAAAGGTCTTACCCCTAATGCGTAAGCCCGAAGCAGCGCCTCGCTGATGAACGAAGATGAATTTTAACCCCTAGCGCGGTAGCCTCTCAAAAAGCCCTCTGACTCCTGTGTCCTCCTGAGACCCACCTCTCTGTAGATGAAGTCATGTTCCCAAACCGTCCCTCCTCGTAACTATGCACTCTGTCTCCCTTCCTCGGATTGAAGGAGGCTGACTGGATCTACCTACGCATGCCATTCCTGCCTCGACCTCTCCCTCTTCCTTCTGGTGGAGAATCCATGTGATTCTGCCCCCACGGCCGGTATCTCTTGTGCCCCTGAGCTAGGAAGGACCTGCCTTACATGCGGTGTGAGGCGTAAAAGCAGAACAGAGGGAAGGAGACACAAAAGGAAGACGCGGTGGTTGGTGGCCTGCTGAGAAAGTCCTCCGCGGGCTGCAAGTCAGAAAGCTTGGAAAATGAACCCTTCTGTGCAATTCCGGTTTCTGCTCTTTGGCAGTTCCGGGCAGAAGAAAAAGCATCCGTGCCTTCCCCTGTTCTTTCTTCGTGATTTCCAGGCACGCCGGCCTCCCTGGTCAGCGCCCGGAAGCTCCGAAGCATCTACCTGAGCTGCTTCCCACAGCCCACAAGAGAGCGGTCCCCGTCACTGGAGGCCACGGGAGCTCTGTGGTCACAGCCACCTGCCTGTCATTCCGTGTGAGCACAGCCTGCCTGCAAGGTAACCCTAGCCAGGGAGGAAAGGCAATGAAGGCTGGATAAGAGCCACAAAGAGAAGGGCGGGCCTTACGGGTGGCTATTGATGGAAATTTCAATCTCCTCACGGCTCCGCAGCTGACAAACCCCTGTGATGCGGGTCTGAAAACAAACACGCACCACGGGAGTCTTCCCGAGAAGTCCCCGCGTCCCACCAGAATCAAGTAGCATCACTGTGAGCAGCATGCGTTTGCAAAGCCAGCCCCCCCCCCCCCCCCGGGCACCTTGCCTCCGCTCCAGAGTAGCAAGATGCCTGCGATACTTGGCACAAACTCCTTTGGCCCCTCGACACCTGATGGGAAGACAGTTGGAAGAGAGAGACCCTTGGACGCTAACTTGGAAGAGAGAAGACACTTGGTCTCCACACAGGCTTAAATCTACTGAACGTGGGACTTGCCCTTTTGTTCATAAAATATCGACGTCTTGTTTCGGAATCGAGAACATGGACCAATTCACGTGACCTCAACTAGAAGTGGGAATTTACTCTTTTTTTGTTATTTATTTATTTTTAATTTTTTAAAAATGTTTTTATTTATTTTTGACAGAGATAGACAGAGCATGAGTGGGAGAGGGAGACACAGACTCCGAAGCAGGATCCAGGATCCGAGCTGTCAGCACAGAGCCGGACACGGGGCTTGAACTCACAAACCGTGAGATCATGACCTGAGCCGAAGTCAGACGCTCAACCGACTGAGCCACCCGGGCGCCCCTCTTTTTTGTTTTTTAAAGGATGGCTTTGAGAATACTGATCGGGAAGGTCAAGACCATACTGGAATCAGAAGGTAGCACGCTGTGGGAACCTGGCGGGAACCTGCCCCCGCAGCCAGCCAGACCCCACACCTGCCGTCTGTGTCCCTGGACAGGCTGCTGGGGCTCCCTGCGCCTCTGCCTTCTGGTCCTGGTGAGGATTACAGGAGTTTATCGGTGTGAAGGGCTGGGAACTGTCTGGAACGTACCAAACCCTCAAATTTATTAGCAACTGCTCATCTGTCTGCCTACGCATCGCGGTTCCCATTTTGTTTCTTTCACAGAATTTCCCACCATCTGAAATTCTCCTGTTCGTGTAACCGTCCATTTGTGAGACCTCAGCCCTTCTTCGCAGGCTCCGCGGAGGGGGACAGGCTGCTGCGGCCGTGTGTTGGTGCTGCGACCTCGGGCTCCCTCCCGGCCCAGGGGGGGCGAGTGCGGGGAACCTCGGCGGTCGGATGGAGTCACCGGAATTCACTTGGGTTCGAATCAGACTGACGGAGAAGGTGACACATGAGACACCCGGAAGCGCTGACCCCCGGAAGGGTCTCCTGCATCACCTGCTTCCGGGAAGGGTCCTGGCCGCCTCATCATGTACAGCAGGCCGCCTGCCCCTGATACGAACACCACGCACATGAAGAGCTGAGAACCAGCCCCCGCATTTCTTCCTCAACTCACTGCTGACACGGAGTTCTACACGAGGCCATAGGTTGGGCCGCGGGAGGAGAGGAAAGGCAGCAGAGGTCTGGCAACCTGCTCGTGTAACACACGTGCCAGATGAGCCCTGAGCCCAGGGTTTTGGTCTATATGACCTCCCCCTGCGGAGGGGCCCGTGCTGTGCGCGCTCAGCCTTGTGGTCACAGGAGACTCTGCTCATGATGAGAAGTCCGGATCGCCTCGTCCCTTGATGGCCCCTCCCCGAGCATTACATTCTAGTAAACCCAGCGGCAAACTGGGTGCCTTTTCTCCAAAGGGAATATAGTTTGATGCATAATCCGAGGAGCCCATGCCCTAACTCTCTTGTCCTCACTCCTCGGAGGCCCACGCGGTGCCCCTGCTTGTCACGTCGGGGGACGCGAGATCTGCTGTTTCCCACGTGTCAAGTGGCTGAGCAGCTTCTGTGGCAATCGGTGCTTTTGCGGCAACTTCTGTTGCCCTGGGCCTCGCTCAAACCTGACGGCCTCGTGGGCTTCTCGACGATTGGGGAAGACAGACGCACTTCAACGAGGACCATGTTGCCTCCAGAGTCCAAAGAAACCCGCCAAGCGTCGCACGTCTTCTTTAGTGACAGAGGGGCTCAAGGGGCGGTGATTAGCCCGGAGGATGTCCCGAAACGGGGGCCATAATATCATCTCACGTGATAGGGACTCTGTGGGGCCTGAGCGGGATACTGGGCCCGGTACGTGGCTGAGCGGGTGCTCACACTAGCTCTGAGGATGACGACACTGGTGGTGTGATGGTTGCCTATTTGAAATTTGAGCAAGATTGCACAGACGAGGCCTTCCCAGCTCCTCCCCCTTCCCCCCGCCCTGACCACGGCCTGCCACCATCAGCAGAACCAGAAGGGACAGCGGTGACGTCAGACGTGGCGATGGCAGGAGAGGAGCCACCTGTCTTCGTGAAAAGCCGCCATCAAATTCAAGAAGGCGGTTCACACCTGCTCAGCTGGCTGCCCTGCGTCTGAATCATTCCGCACGGAGCGTTATGGTCCACGGAGGCCCTACGCTGTTTTACGGTTTTCTGCAAGAATTTGGTAGGAAGTGTCGCCGGTCCTAACCCCACCCCCCGCGTATGTTTGTGTGAGTGCGTGTGTGAAGCAGGGCTGTGGGGTGGAGGGGGGAGCCGTAGCAGGAGAGCCCTTGGCTGCTTGTGTCTGGAAACAGAGCCAGAGATCCCAAAGCCACGTGTGGAGTGGGTTTGGTGGAAAGGGACAACAGGGCCGGCAAGGGGAGGGTAGAGTGGGGACATCACTGGGACCTCAGCTCCCTCTTTCCCATCAGGTGGGAACAGGAGTCTGTCCCAGAGAGGTCCTCATGCCATCCTGAACCCCTCTCGTGTCTGCGGGGCCTCGGGACTGGAACGGTGACCCAGAGACCGAGCATCACAGGACTTCAGAATGGCCGCCACCCTTCTCTTACGTCTACCTCTCCTGTGCCCGTGGGGACACTCTAGAGGCCGTGCAGGCTGCCAGTGGCAGAGGCTGGGGAGGAGCCGTCAGCGTTCCCGGGGAGCAGAGGGGAGCTCCCCGCCTTCCGGAGCCTTCCGGAGTCACTCCTGCACAGCTTCCCCGGGGAGGGCCCTGAACGTCACCTTGACCGTCACCTCGACCGTCACCACGGCACATCAGCCAGAGCTTCTCAAACGGGGCTCAGGGACCCTGGGACGTGAGGACATTTCAAGGTGCCCGTGGGGACCACAGCTACGAAGAGCTCACCCTTCCCGACAAAGGCAGAGTTTGCAGAACGAACAGCTGCTTTAGCGGGCTCAACGGCTTGTTATGGCAGAGAAAGAAGGGAGAGGGTCAGTGACCGGGCGGGTCCCCACAGCAATGAGTCACCTGGGCTGGCCACCCCTAACTGAATCAAAATGTACAAGCTCGCTCCTTCATTCACACTCGCCACGTTTCTGCACCCAAAAGCCACGTGTGGCCTGGGCCACCACACTGGGCAGCACAGGCGTGGAAACTTGCCGTGGCAGTAAGTGGCCCTGGACAGGCCTGCCGGCAGGCCAATCCACGTGCGGTCAGTGAGCTCGGGTGTTGGGGCGGCTGCGGGGTTCTGCCCAGCACCGGGGTCCCCTCCGCCAGATTCCGGGTTCCCCAGTCCCAGAGTCCCGCCCCGTCCTCACCTTCAGGGCACCCGGGGCCCAGGCCGTGGAGGGCGACGTGGTGGAGCTTTGCTGTGGGGCCCAGAGGGGCTCTTCCCCCTTCCTGTCCCAGTTTTATCACAAGGACGTCCCCCTGGGGAACAGCTCGGCCCCCTCTGGAGGAGGAGCGTCCCTCAACCTCTCTCTGACCGCAGAACATTCTGGAGACTACTCCTGCGAGGCCGACAACGGCCTGGGGGTCCGGCACAGCAAGGTGGCGCCCTCAGTGCTGTAGGTGGGCTAATTGAGCCTGGGCTCTCCTTCCGGAAGACAGACCCGAGGTGCCAGCGTCTGAGAAGGAGCATCGGGCTGTGGTTGGCTTGCCGCTGGGTTTTCTCCGTGACTTGTGCTGACGTGGGGACAGGAGCCTGTGCACACAGGGCATCCGGCGGTAGTCTTTCTCCCCGGGGCTGTCCTGAAAGGAACACGCTGCACACCAGCCACGGGACAGACGGGCGAATGTCCACACAACCCCTCCAAACCAGGGCAAGACCCCTGGGGACCCTCCCCGCCCCCCTGGGGGCTCCCGCCCGGGCCCCAGCCCCCAGAGCCTCCTCACAAGAGGACAAGGGCCACACTCTGGCTGCAGTGATGGGGATGCTGCTTGGGGTCCTGGCCGCTCTGTTCCCTCACCTACCGTTAAGTCCCCTGGGTAACTGAGACGCACAGCCCCTGGGTTAATTTGGGAGAATTCGCGCAACTAGCCATAACAATGGCAAACACTGAGCACTTGCCGTTGGCCAGATACTGTCACCGTCACTCGGCATGCACTAAACAAACCCAACCTTCGTTTGGGAGGTTTTCTTGCTGTTTTCCCCATTTCATAGATACAGAAACCAAAGCACAGGGACGTTGAGCAACTTCCCTAAAGCGACCCAGCCAGCAGCTGGCTGGGGAAGCGTGGCCCCAGAGCTCGTGCCCTGTTGCACCCCGTGCAAAGAGTACCCCGAGGCCCCCAGAAGCTGAGTGACTCTCTCGGGTTAATCAGCCAGTAGCCACATCACTCAGCTCTCCAGGCACCCGCTGGCCGTCCTCGGGAGGACAGGCCTCTCGAACATTTTTCATTCTTCCCGCTAACACGCATGAAGCGCCAGCCGTCTGCCGGGCGCCGGGCCAGGAGCGAGAGACACAGCGGGACAGGCTGGGGCACCTCCGGCCAAGAAGCACATCGGCCAGCGGTGCGGTGATGTGTGGGTGCCCGTCCCGACCGCACACTCCTGGGCGAGGAGCCCGCCATACCGTCTCCCAAGGTACTTGAAATGAGTGGACCCCTTTCGTACAATCCGTCCCGGAGACACAGCTCGCCCACGGCCGACGCTAACGCTCCGCTGTGCCCGACGGGAGCTGGACCAGTGCCCCCAGCTGAGCCTCTGGGTCTAGTCCCCGTGTTGGGCTGGTTCATTTATCCCACATTTACTATGCATGCACCGTGTGCTAAGGATGCTGGGATTGTCCTGACCGAACAGTCAAAACAGAGCACTAGGGAAGGTCTCCAACGTGGGAATTGGAGCACGAACGTGCCGTGTTCTATATCCCTTGCCTTCTCTGGCACTGAGCACGTGCTGTACCTCCTAGAGGGACCCCTTCTGTCACCTCTTCCCTCCATCCCTATCTAACTCCTACGTCTTCATATTCCAGCCCAGTGTCACCGTCTCTGAGAAGTCTCACTGACTGTCCTCCCGTCTCCACTTTTATTATTTATTTATTTATTTATTTTTAATGTTTGTTTATTTTTGAGAGAGACAGAGACAGAATGAGAGTGGGTCAGGGGCAGAGAGAGAGGGAGACACAGAATCTGAAACAGGCTCCAGGCTCTGAGCCGTCAGCACCGAGCCCGACGCGGGGCTCAAACTCACGAGCCACGAGATCATGACCTGAGCCGAAGTCGGACGCTCAACCGACGGAACCACCCAGGCACCCCCCGTCTCCCCTTTTAGAAATAATGATGAAACGTTGTAATTCTTAATGATCATAAGAGCTAATCTTGAACACAGCACTTACCGTGTGGCCCGTACTGTTCTAGCTGCTGGACATATGTCAGCTGATTGTACTCAGTATTGTTTGTGTATGAGGACATTAGGCACAGAGAGGGTAAGTAAGTTAGTCAAGGTCACACAGCTAGTAAGTGATAAAGCCTAGCTTTGAACCCAGAAGTCGGGCTCCAGAATCAATACAAAGATGCTGTAGACGTAAGACACTATTTTATGACTATTTCGGGATACGAAAGAGAAACACTGCAGGAAATGTAAACTAAAACCCTGTGTTGATAATAATCGATACGTATGCACATAACTGCATCCTCTTTCTTTCACGTTGGACGTTTGCGTGCAAGACTCCCTCTCACTCAGTGTGAATCTTCTTCTGAACCCCTTTGGTCAACAGTGATATACACCTGTACTTTTAGAGGTGATAACACAGTTTCGAGTGTATCAGAGAATGCCAAGCTTTGTTTAGAGTCAAAGTTTCATTTCTTATCTTGGTTAGACCATGTGTTACTGAAAGTTAAGCATCTTTTCTGGGACACGAGCCCCATATGATAGAAAGATACTCACACTATCTATATTTTTGAAGGAAATGACAATGAACAACGCTCTTGGGGAAAGTCTCCAACTGGGTGATTATTTTTCTCTGAACTTGACCTGGACCTCTCCAGCTTAGATTAGTCTTGGTCATACCAGGCCTCGGGGGTGACTCCTGACAGACTCCACCTGAACTGCCCACGCACAGTGGATCAGGCAGCAGGCTCCCCACCTTGAGGATGCTGTGTCTCTCTCAGTACTCGGTCCCCCGACACCGTCTACTTTTAGCCCCTTGCCGACCTTTCTCCACCTGCCCCTCCCGCCTCCATTCGCTGTCCTGGGGACTGAACCACGTCTCTGTGCTTTCAGGAACCTTCCAGCCAAGGACCAGGAGCCCTTGTAGAGCCAGGGAGAGTTCCGCTGTTAGGAAGGGGCTCACCTCTGTGAGGTGAGGCTTGTAGGGATGCCTTTGACAGCCCACGTCCTGCCTAGACTCACTTGGGGTGTCAAAGTGGGTATGCAGCCAGCGCCCTGTCCTTGGCCGCAGGCTCCTGTCTAAGCTTGTCCTTTCAGAGGCTCCGGCGTGTCTGGACGTGGCTGGTGCCCATTTCTGGAGCATCCACCAAGGACAGGAGGGTGCGGGCGGGCTTTGGGGCGGCACCCCTGTCTTCGCCAGAGCTGAGGGGAGGTGGCTGCTGCAGCCTTGGCATTGACTGCAAGGGAGAGAGTGTGGGTCTCTGTGACAGTTTCCTTCAGACCTGGTGCTGTCGTGCCTCTGTCCTGTCTTGGGGGACAGGTGGAAGCTGTGGGCCTGGGCTGTGAGAGGCCTGTGGTTTCCACGGCTCCTGATTCTCTCACAGCCACGGCCTCCCCTAGGGACACCTCGGAAGGAGGCTCCACGTTCCCGGCTCTTCTCTTCCAAGGACTTGGTCTCCAACCGAAGTGTGGTTCAGTGCACCTGACACAGTGGGCCCTCAACAAACATCACCTTCCTTGCTCTCCAGGACGGCCTTCCTCCTCAGGACCCCTCCGTGGTCTGTTCCACGGTGAAGAGAGGGCAGCCTCGGCAGAGGCGCAGAAAGTGAGACATGCCCTGCAGGCGTGTCTGGCCTTGGCTCAGGTGCCAGCTGGGACGCCCAGGTGCTTCCCTCCTGGAGTCTTCAGCCGCTGCTTCAAGGAAAAGGAGAAATAGTCACTAGGAAGCTGACGAGGTGGCCGGTGGCTCCAAGAAGGCTCTGAGACCGTCGAGTCCATGACCTGCTCATGACCCAGACCCAAACCCTCGGGGACCAGGGCTTGCCAAGCCGACCTGCCCTTCCTTTCTTCATCCCGTCACTCAGGACCAGCCCTTTTGCACCTGAGGTGAAGCCAGGACAGCCAACACATAGAGGGGACACAGGCTGAGGGGACCCGGCTGAGTAGGAGCTGCCCAGAAGCATCCATTCAATCCTGAGTTCTAGAAATTTCCAACAGTTATGAAATAAGGCTTTCATGTCAAGAAACACAAAAAATAATTGACACAAATGGGAATCCGTCTTTATAGGACAGTTCACTGCAACTCTTCCTAGAAGCAGACACCTGCCTCTTTCTTTTATGCCAAATATTGCAGAGTCCCTGGTCCCCCAAATACCACAGACTGTCTCTCTTCCCGCCCCTCACCTCTGTCCCCACTTCCTACCATAGACCACTACAGCCTCCTGGATTACAAGCAAAATGAAAATCCTTGGAATGTTCCCAGAAACTTGTTTAGGCAAAGTAGAATGCCGTGGCCCATCAAGTCCTGGCAGCTACAGAAATAATAAAAATGTCACAGACAGACAAGATGGGAGAAAAAACTAAATAAAAGAAGGAAGGAAGTCCTGACAAAGTACGTGGGTGAAATCGAGATGTGATGGTGAATTTTATGTGTCAATATGACCGGGCTTGGGACGCCCAGGAAATATTGATTCCAGGTGTGTCTGGAGACATTGCATCTGAATCAGTAGGTCGGGTAAAGAAGGCCGCCCTCACTGGTGTGGGCAGGCTCCGCCCACTCTGCGGAGGATAGAACAGAACAAGAAGGTGAAGAAGGGGCTTGAGGGGGCACATCCTCACTGCTGGTTCTTGGGTCTTGGACTTGGACCAGGACTCACACCGTTGGCTCCCGTGGTTCTCGGACCAGGGCTCACACCGTTGGCTCCCGTGGTTCTCGGACATCCAATTTGCAGATGGCAGATTGTGAGACTTCTCCGTACAGAGAAACCCACAGTATGGGTTATGCTTCCATATGCATGACACAATCTCTCATAGCAAACCTCTTTTCTCTGGAGAACCCTGATGGATACAAGGCACAAAGAACAATCGAGAACAACAAAAAAGTAGACGTGTTTGGGACAAGAGCATCCGGACTCCACCCAGCAGCATAGCCTCTGTGTTTTGGAGCTGGCGAGCCTGACAGGCACCTACGAGGAAGTTGCAAACCTGGAAAGATCCAAACACGAGATGACGGTGTGAGAATATGTGGTTGACACGTGGTTGGGAGAGATCACTGCAGAGACTCAACAAAAGCAGCAGCAGTTCGTGGGGTGTATTTGGGGACAGACTCTTCCCCACTCTGTTTTGGAAAGACAGATGTCCACTTTCTTGTGTCTTCTTCAATTTCTTTCATAAGCTTTCTGTAGTTTTCACCTCTTTGGTTATGTTTACTCCTAAGTATTTTATGGGTTTTGTGCAATTG